GGACTTTGTGTCAAACATGATATCAATTGTATGCCATTCGCCGTTATTCAGCGGATGAGGGCTTTGAACCATCAGCTCCTCAGCGCCCGAACCAAAATCATACAGTAGTCGTGCCCTTCCTATCAATGCACACAACATTTACACACATTTTTATATGCAAACAGTTATTATAATCGCATTTATATTTTCATACCATTTCTCAACTCAAGAGACATGAAATCAGTGATAATCGTATTAAACGGAGAGCTCTCTGGAGGTGGAGATAGGGGTCCGAAGTAGAAGATGAGTCCGTTTGACATTTGGGTCATGAATTGCAAACTTATATGAGATTCACTGCATTGGGAGAAGCCCTTCAACCACAGCCATCCCTCACCGTTGAACGACCGGCTCCTCAGTTGACATTCCGGTCCATCCATATCGTGAGGACAGTCACACCTAACGTAGTTTGAATGGTCTGATTGGACACAAGTGCCGCCATTGAGACACTTGTGGTGAGCGCACGACGAGTCCCGGGTAGCGCGGGTCGGCTCGTAATCGCAAACACAGTTGGCTTTTGTCCGCAGATTAATGCCCACCAAAGAAGTATAGTTTCCGTTTATGAGGACATCACTCGACTCGTCCAACACGTGTTCAGTCGTACAACTCGTTGACTCGCATTCGTGTCCCTCTTCTCCCAAACATTCATTAATTCCGATTTGCGTTATATTAAGCTATCGTACAGTCATTTTGTTAGTATTTTTTACAATCAAATAAATTTTAAATTTTGGTTTTTGGTTATAAAAGTAAGAAAATATAGAGAAAAAGAGGAGTTGAATGAAGTCTTACCTCTAACTCGCTCTCAAGAATCGCTCGGTTTTGAAGAACCACTGAATTGAGAAAAACTGAGGAAAGAATCAATGAATTCTTTTTTGCATAATATCTGACGTCAAGAATCAGTGGCTTCTCCTCCTGTCTCTCAATAAGACTGAAGATTTCAATTTCATCACATCTGATGACACGTCTGATCGAGTCTTTCATCCTTTCGTAAAGACTTTTGATTTGTTGTCTTGTTTTCCAATTCCAC